AATATCAATGAAGGTGAAAAATAAAAGAAAGAAATTTTAATCCAAAAAGTCTACTCTATTATGTATTTACCTTATACATACTATTCTGAAAATAACGCGGACAATCTCAAGGCACGCACCTGCCGCGGTAAATTGTTACAGTAGTTCCGATAACAGAACTTTATTGGCTTATTCTTTTCTTAGAATTCTATCTCAACAAATATCATACGGACTGTACATCCCCTTATCAAAATTTTAAGGGCGAGTTGTCGAATAAAAGTCAACACTGGATAAGTGACGGAAAGAATGGATATTACCCAGTATTGCCTCACACAAGATAAAATATTCAACTTAATCCGTGCAGTCGGCAGGTAGACGTTTTCGTTTAATTTTTTACGACATCGACGTGCTTAAGATTATGTCAACCGTTTATGAGGCAGCTTAAAGATAATGGCATAGCAAATCGTCCCAACGTAACCATTTGTTCTTGTTAAAACGTCTCTCTCGCCGTTCTTGTGCGCCGTATTCTTGGTTTTTTGTTGCCGAGACTCCTGGCAGACAAATCCGCAGCCTGCCTGCGAAAATACATACAGTTTCTATCCGCTTACCTCAGGATCGCTACAAGAAAACCGGCGTGTAGGTTTCTTTGTCACTAAGTTGTATCTTAAAGTAAAAATGAACAACATTTGTAAATCTTCTAAAACTACACAACTATAATAAGACGCAATAAGTTTTTCTCATTTTGTTCTTCTGTCTCTCTTTAAAGTTTGACATTCAGTTAGATACAGGGTGGTCCCGAGGTAATGGGCCAAAATCATCATGGGTAGATTCCCAAGCAAAAATATTGCGATTTAGCCGAACTTACATTACCAAAAGTTGATAGTTAAAGAGATACAGGGTGTTAAACGTAAAATATTATTATTTTTTTTTTCATTTATTCCTTAACAAATGCAAATATCCTCACAAAATTTTGGGGTTTGGAGTTCTTTGGGTAGAGGAATTGAAATCTGTTCACATTTTGGAAAAAGTTCATAGAGGGCGCTAGTTGCAGTAGATTTAATGTGTTAAAAACGACATAACTTTTTTGTACTTTAAGGTATCTCATTTTTGGTATGAAATTCTTATTTTCCAACTTTTTTTACACAAAAAAGGTATACTTTATGGAAGTAGCTATCTCGCACCGTTTTCGAGATATTTGGCTTTGAAACTTCCAATGCTGTTGCATTAAATTACAATTAAGTACCTACAGGTATTATTAATTTAGCGGTAAAGTTTCTTAAGTAGGATTTGGACGAAATTCAAATAATTGACGTTTTCCACTTGTCTTATTACTGTCATTTGTATGCTAATTTCTATTAAGTATTATTCGTATCTAATTAAAATTACATCTTAGCTTACAATTTAAATTGTATACCTACTCGTGAGCATAAATGTGAGATAGAATGCCGACATTTTCGTTTTTGTAGTTACATGAAATCAGTTGTTTATGGAGAAACTATAAACACCTGAGAAGAACTTTAGCAGCAGGTTTTAAAAGCTGCAAAGTCATTTCGCGTGAAGGATTTATACTTTAAAATAAGACAATCTTTTAATAAGCGCGTTGATAAATGTATTGAAGTTAGAGGTGAACATTTTGAGCAATTATTGTCAAAAAGGCATATTTTTTACTAATGTTTACTATTTTACTGTTTATTACACTTTTTAATTCTAAATAAACCCTTGTTTTTGACATTTCTAAATTATTTTAATTATTTCAACTATTAGCATTGGAAGTTGCAAAGTCAAATATCTCGAAACGGTGCGAGACAGCTACTTTCATAAATTTTACCTTTATGTCTAAAAAAGTTGGAAAATAAGAATTTGTTACCAAAGATGAGATATCTTAAAGTAAAAAAAAGTTATGTCGTTTTCAACACATTCAATCTACGGCAGCTGGCGCCCTCTACGAAGTATAATCAAAATGTGAACAAATTTCAATTCCTCTACCCAAAGAACCCCAAACCCCAAAATTTTGTGTAGACATGTGCATTTATTAAGAAATAAATGGAAATAAACTGAAATAATATTTTCAATTTAACACCCTGCATCTCTTTAACTATCAACTTTTGGACTAAGGTAAATTCAGCTAAATCGCAATATTTTTGCCATGAATTTTGGACCATTACATTGGGACCACCCCGTATATTTCTCCATATCAAGTGTGATATAATAAAAGGTAAAAGTTGGTCTAGTAAGACATCGGCTACAAACTTTTTGTATCCAAATAATCAAAATTGTTGTATATAATAGTGCTACGCATCAGGTTTATGTCCTTGAAACTTATTTTTTTGAACTTATAGTCGATATTGTTGTATATCATGGAGCTACGCATCAGATGCGTCTCCTTAGAACTTACTTTTTGAACTTATACTTATACTTTATATGTATTTATAACCTTTTATGTCCTGACCTGATGTCGCGGTTTAGCTGCAATAAAATAGATAAATATACGAGGTCAGTTCAGAAAATAATCGAACTTTATATTTTTAAACTTTATTACTAATTTTATACATTATTGGTTCTTGTCTCCTTCAAAGTACTCCCCTCCCTTAGTCACACTAGTGTTTCCATTTCGCGAGAGTCCTGGATAGTTTCATTTAAAATGGCCTTTAAAGTCTGCTTTAAAGTCCGCGAATTTGCTTTGACGTCATCAATAGTCTCAAAATGGCGTCCTTTCAGCACTGATTTTAATTTCAGAAATAATACGTAATTAGATACATCCTATACTCCAGTCTAGCTTTATAAATGCTAAGTTAAAACTTAAAAAAGACATCTTAGTAGAAAAAAATAATGTTACAAAATGATATTGGTTACATATTTGTATTCAATTTAATTCTCTCTGTAATATTTTTTTCTTTTATCTACTTTCTAGACATCATAAATAGATAGTTTGGATTTCACAAGATATAATTTTTTCAGCATGTTATAAAATGTGAAGTTTCATGATATCCAACAAAAAATTTAACAATATCTGAAGGAAAGGGGAAAAGTAATAATTTCTTGAACAAACATGACATTTCAAGTCGTACAAACCTATAAATTTGTTTTATCTGCTCTTTTACGACATATCCCGAATCAGAAATACATTTATATATGTTCTTTAGCATGACATCTTTTCACCCTTTAACATTTCGCTGTCTGAATATGTTTTTTCTCGGATACGAGTATATTTGTATTAAAACCTTTAGGGTGTTTTTAAAAGAGAGTTTGAGGAGATTATTCTTGCAAGATTTTATGGGAACATTAAAGTTGGCCCATCAGTTGACTCGCTAGAGGTTACATTTTCACGAGTTTGATATAGCAAGGTATATATACGCATATTAAACAAACTTCAAGAAAAACTTTAAGAAAACCGTTAAAAATGTTGAAATTGACACTTATTCGCCTCATTCGTGAGGCAACGTATAAATCTAATATCATTTTGCCGGGCTGTGTTTAACAATTCCTCATGAATATGATGACCCTAGTTGACGTTTTATATTAATAACAGCCCTGTTCATGAATTTGATGTTGATATCTTTTATCCGAAACACTAGCTAGCTCAAGGATAAATTTACATATAAGCTTAGTAAAATCTATGAAAGCATTCAACAGTGAATAGAATTAGTTGAGAAAAATAATGAAGAACTTTAATCAGACAAAAATTTTGCAATCAATCTTTCTCCAGCAAACTAATGAGAGTGAAACTAAGAAGGTTATTATGCAGTTGAAGGAGGCAACATCTCCAGGTATTGATGGTTTGAAATCAGAAACATTAAGAAAATTGCACCTTTTATCTGTAAGCCGTTGAGTTTTCCCAAAGTTGTTTAAACAAGCATTAATAAAGCCTGTATTTAAATCCGGTGATAAGTTAGACGTTACAAATTACAGACCAATATCGCTGTTGAGTACCTTGTCAAGAATATATGAAAAAATATTGAAAAAGTGACTAACTGAATACTTGTTTAAATACATCTTATCAAAGCAACAATATGGCTTCCAAGAAGCTAAGTCAGCGGAGGATACAATGGCTGATTTAACTGCTGAATTCTATAAATCTTTAGATAAAAATAAAAAGGCGCTTTGTATTTTGACTTGGCTAAAGCATTCGACACTGTTTTTCATGCAAAATTATTAAAAATACTTTAAAATATTCGGTTTAAGGGGGTTGTACTGGATTTGATGACAAGTTACTTAGCGGATAGAGAGCAAATCGTTAAAATTGATGAGCAAGTAAATTCCAAGAGAGTGGTGAAATACGGGGTGCCTCAGAGTACTGTCCTCGGACCGATACTTTTTAGCATATACATTAATGACCTGTTTAACCAATCTTCGCTATGCAAAATTATTAGTTTTGCTGATGATACGGCAGTAAACTACACAGCGGATAATTGGTTACATTTGAGGAATATTGCTGAAAAAGATTTTTCTAAAGTAATGCGTTCTTTTTTTTAATTTAAACTACTGACAAGTAATACTAAGAAGGCCTTTTTGTTACCGGTTGCTTGTTATAATGAAGCATTGACAAACTATAAAACGCTTAATTTTCAGTTAGGTACACATATAGAAATATCAAGGACAGATGCAATTAAATATTTAAGTGTATATATATATTGATAAAAATCTTCGATGGAATCATCATATTGACTATCTAGTGAAATAGTTGAGAACCTTGTATAAGTAGATTCAAACTATACAGATGTATATTTAGCAAAAGCTATTTAAAAATTCTTTACTATGCCCTGGTGCAGTCCCATCTTAGTTATGGAGTAATAATATGGAGTGGAACCACGAATATTCACTTAAAAAAGCTTATCTGCATGGCTACTTAAGATTATTCCCAGCAAAAATTATTGGTATCCATCAGATGTACTTTATAAAGAAGCACAATTATTAGACATCCGTCAGTTATTCTTTCAAAACCTAGTCATTAAATATTATAAGGAAAAATCCAGTACCAAAGAAATAACTCACTCTTATAGTACCGGAATAAAAAATATACTATGATACAAATTATGGATCATTTGAATGATTTTTTTAGTGGTAAATACTTAGGCATCTTGCGATTAAACTTCTCTGACTTTGTAAGGGAGAAACTATCCCTCTTGCAACAAAACAACATAAAGAAAAGGTGAACAGATGTCTGACTATTTAACTGACTGTTTTTGTTTAAGTGCCCTGTCCGTGGGCTAACTTAACGTCTCTCGCCCAACTCACGGCTTTTTTGTTTGTTTCAGCGACTGGAGAGGAGGAACCCAGTCCGTTGCCTTGTTTAGTTTACGTTCATGGTGAAAGTTACGAATGGAACTCCGGTAATCCGTACGACGGAACTGTCCTGGCCTCAACTGGAAGAGTTATAGTAGTCACCATCAATTTCCGACTCGGTGTATTAGGTGAGTCGCTTTTTCTCTTGTCTAGCCCCTTTTCATTTGTCCTGATAAATTGTTTAGCGGTTTACTTGAGAAATAACCGGTCGCGTGTGTTGTAACTTGCAGCTTAGGTAGGGATTTTTAATACGCACTGCCTTTTTATTCAGGATTAATTTTCCAATTAAAAGTTAGTTGTTTCGATCGAACTAATTTTTCAACTCAACAAAATAAATATTGTAGATTGTAAGTAAATTATATAGAGCATGAAGAAACTAAAACTCTACAATTAACTCTCAAAGGTCATACTTGGGGTGGGCCACCTTAAAGGTCACACTAGTGCGAAAGGGGATTTTGCCAACTTTGAACCTTTATGTCTCCTTCATTTGTTATCGAAAACATAACGTATTTATATCAAAACTGGGGTAAAATTTTCCGAGAAATCGGATGATGTAATTAGTTTTGAGAAAAAAAAAATGATAGCATAAATACCTAGCAACAATTTTATTCAAATTGTTTATAAGCGAAAAACGCACGTTTTTAATGCACAATTTGAGAATGTTAATGTGAAAAAAACGGTGATATTTTTTAATAGGTCGCTTAATTACGCCTTTAAGATTACAATGATACTTTCAGAGTCTTGTTTGGTTGAAAATTAACGCCTGTACAGAGGCTTAAAGTTCATAACTTTTGGAGCCTCCGTTATAAACAAATTGAATTGTGCGAAAACTATTGCACCTACAGCACCCACTTTTGGCACACTTTTAAAGTATGACAAAACCCTCAACTTGTCATAGGTTTTATAAAATTTTAACAATAAATGCGATAGTTATAAACAAATTAAAAAAATAACTTTTTTTGTTTATTAAC